GATCTTTATTTTAAAGTCTCAAACTCTTAACCATTGAACCATCTCATTGAAATTACACGAATAATAGTAACTTCATGCATTTTCTAAGCATAACAAAAAAAAAAAAAAGGTACTATTTCTATTCTAGTTTAATTGTCCCATTTATCAAATTTGAGTGATGTTAAATTTAAATAGTTATAGCAAGATAACAACTCCCTTTATGGATAAGGAGGGCCTAGTGGCAGGTTGTGGTTATGTGACTCATCAACTCTCTCCCCAAAATCAATAATGTTATTGAAAAACCCCTTAACTAGCTGGATCGAGTATGAAATTGTTTGTTTAATTTAAGAGGAAAGGGGAGAGGACAGAAAATTATTATAATTAATTTTTTTTGCCTAATAATTTATTTTGATTGGTTGAAATAAGACATTTTTGTTCTCTTTTTTTCACTTTCCTCAAACTAAACATATTATTATAGTAAAAAATCAACTCTTGATAAGTTTATAAAGATTAGCTCAATTGGTAAGATTCAATTTAGATTTTTCTTTTTTTTTTTTTATGTTGGAGTCTTTTTATTTAATAGTCTCTCATAAATATGTGATCTATATTATCTATAAATCTCTATTAGAGGGTTTTTTTTTTTTCTTTTTTTGATCCACAGTCTATTATAAGTAGTAACGTGTGTCTTGATCTTAAAATTGCAGTAATTTGGCCTCACTCTAAATCTTTTTAACCCAAAAAAACAAATCAAAGAAAATCAACTCATTGATAATCAATGATAAAATAATTAAGTTGGTGAATTCATATTCAAAAACTTCTCCATTATATATTACACAATAAGAAGCAATCTTCTTCTATTATTTTACCCACTCACCTACTCAAATCTAATATCTTTTACTTTTTTTAAAAAATAAAAATATTATCAAATTATTTAAGTTGAATGACAAATATTATTTTCTCATATTCATAAACTTAGAACTAGCAGAAAGCAGTACGAAAAGGAGGATGATGGTGTTTTATTATTTGTTTGTACAATCAAGAGTCAAACAAACAGAAAGGAAAAATTAGAAACATTGTCTAGAAACACACATGGTTTGATGCCCAAGTGTATAAATTTAGTACAATGTCTTGGCTTATACTTGTTGTCCTTTAAGAATTATTGAAGATTATATTCCACAAGGGAAAACTAGAAAAGGGGGGGAGTGATGGAAGATTCATATATGGCCTATATGGGGCTCAAATCATTTGAGCAAGCCATGACCAACTGGCCATAGGAGTCAATGAGACAGATGGAAAGTGAACGAGGCGCACGTTGGGTTGTCAGCTAGCACTGGTTATGGTGTTGGATTTGGTAGCCCACTCAACTTTTAGGTGCAAGGATAACTTTACAGCCCAAAAGTTGTTTGTCGAAGACAATGATCCTTCCTTGCGTACCTTACCATGAGGTGCGTTTCGTTCATCATTTTTTCAGGGAAGCCAGGCAATTTTTCTTGCCTTGACTTGAAAATCTTAGCACAAAATTGAAGAGGAGATATGATAGGTTACAATTAATTATAAGTGATTATGACAACAAAAAAAAAGAAAGTTTTTGGAGAAAGAAATCTTCATATGGGTATTTTGCCTGGAAACAATATGTGAAAAACTTGTTATTGTAATTGGTTATAATAAATTATAATGCATTATATCTCTATCAAATTTTGTGTCTAAATTTTTAAGTCAAGTCATGAAAAAATAACTTGGCTTCCCTAAATATAATGAACCAAACATACCCTTAAATTTCTTTTGGTAGTCAAATGATATTATCGAGCTAGTTTTCATGTATTATATTATACTTTTTTGGTTTAAGAATATAATAGGTATTTTTTTATTAAAAATTTGTCTTAAACTAATTGTGCTTTTTCATATTTTAAAGGAGATAAATTTTGTTTTTCTATTTTAATCTTATCATTATTTATTAATTTTAATTATCCATCACATCAAAGAAAAAGGTCTCTTTTTATAATTAAAATAATATAAGTAAAAACATAAACAATTATTATTTTAAAATAGAAGAAATACATTTTTTTTTCAATTCTATCAAAATAAATTATGCTAATTAAAATTAAATTGAGTCTTTAGTTACAATGATTCATTTTAAAACTTTAAGTATTTAAGTGTAGTTGGTTGAGAGTTCGACTCTCACCAATAACTTGAAAACAAATATCTCCATCCCCAAATTTTCTCATCTTCAAAAAAAAAAATTTATCCTAATTAGAACTAGAAATTTCTCGATGAATTACCTTAGAACTATGAATCGATTTATACAATGATGAATGATACCATTTCGTCCCTTACCATAAGGGGGCATTTGGTTCGTCATTTTCCTAGGACAAAATATCTAGGGAAGTCAAGCAATTTTTCTTGGCTTGACTCGAAAATTTTGGCACAGAATTCAAGAGAAGATATAATGGGTTATAATAAATTATAACCGGTTATAACAGGAAAAAAGAAGAAGAAGAAGAAGAAGAAGAGGGCAAGTTTCTTAGGAGGGGAGGAAGAACTTATAGGGTATTTTTGGATTTTTTTCTTTTTAAAAAGTAATGAACCAAACATACCCTAAAAATTCTTTTGATAGTCGAATGATGTTACGAGCTACATTTTGTGTATTATATTAAGTTTACTTTTTGGGTTCTAGAATATAATAATTATTTTTTGTTATAAAATTTGTCTTAA